AGTGTTGGTTTGATGAGTCAATGGTACAAATGAACAGAAAAATTAAAATGCTGATTTCAAATACATCAACGCAAGTTCATGGGTAGTGTGTGTGTGTAATATTTTATAATGAACTATATGCTTAATTTGGAGGTACTGTCTTGATGATACAAGCCTGACTTGTACAGGTTTACCTTTCTGATTCATATGGATTTAATCTGAAATCATCTATCTGCCTCAGATAGATGTAGAGGCATAAGCAGAATGATCTTCGGGAGAAACTGTATGCCTGTGTATAAAACACTTTTGTAATTTTCCAGTTTGATTGTCATTTGAAATTCAGTTTCTAGATTTTTTTTATATTTTTCTCTGAATGGGAAAGTCTTCAAAATTGAAGTCATATGGCATTTAAACAATGGACAATTCGAGTTCACAATGTGTTGTAGCAATTACTGTAACATGCCAAAGAGAAGAACCAAGTGACATGCCCTGAGGTGTCATTTAGTGCTGTATTAAAAAGAGGACCAAGTGATAAATCAAAAGCTTTCTAAGCCATTAAGGATATTGCTTTTATAAATTAAAGTCACATACCATTTAAAACAGGAATTAATATCTTCAGAACTAAGGTTTCTTAATAGCTTGCTGTGGACAACCATAATAGCTTTGTTATCTGGAGATACGAAAAATAGTGTATTTGTTAACTGCAGGGAAAGGCTTCCCTATATCCCATGCTCCACAGTGGCAGCTGTTGAATATTTGATATGTTAATACATACTTATATTCTGGTATTTGGGCAGTGATTGTAAAGTCAGGCAGATTTAGTACCTAAAATAGTTTATAGCCTTAGAGAAAAGTGTCAGTATAAAAATAATAATTTTGTCTTAGTTCTTTACACATAGTATCTTTTTTTTTTTCCTTGTGAAATCAAACTTGAGAAAAAATAAGAAAAAAATCAGTCTTTTTAAGGTTATATCCATTCTGTTCTGAATCACCGTGCTAATGGGGAACAGAGATGCACAAGTTTTGCGCTTGTGAAACATATTTTCTGGGTTTTTTCTACTACTCTATAAATATGATGTAACTGAGACTATCACAATGAATATTCACCATTGTGTATTCTGCAGGGGCAACTTTCAGTTGGAAAATCATCATTGTCATACATAGTTTAACTCTTGTTATTCATGACTTATTAAAGTTTTGTGATGGTATTTCACTTTGCCAAGTGGACTGAAATACGTTTCTACTTGGGTATTGCTGAAATATAGACTCATTTGTGACTCTCTCCTTCAGTGGTGGAGATTGAATATCTTTGAAGAGCATCCAGTGTCAGGGTGATATGAGCTGGTATGAGTGTTCACTTGCTTTTACAATTCTTCCTCTTGCTCTGACCACTGGCCAAGGAAGTGAAGTTGGCCTACTATTAACCTTGCAGTCAGGCTTCTGTAAATCAGCCTGGAGAGAAAGAGAAGGCACTCAGGGTTACCTTTCTGCACTCTTGGTAGCTAGTTACAGTAACACTGAGATGCTTAAAGCAAGTCTACTCCTGAAGGCAAAGAGCGACTGAGTAATTGTTGCCTAATTGGAGAAATCTAATTATATGCAAAGGAAAAAGGATGGAAACTAAGACAATAGTAAGTTCTATGTGCATTGGTCTCAAGCAACAAATCCTGAGCTGGTTTAAACCTCAGTTTCAACTGCACTAAGTTATTTGGGTCAGTTTAAATTCAGGATGCCCTGGAGACAATCACGACTCTTTATGAAAATTGTTATGAATAATGGGACTGTTTGACTACAAGTAGAAAATATGTTCTATGTTAAATCACTGACACCCCAGGCAAGAATATTCTCCCAGCTCTTTCCCGTGACCTTCTCCCTTTCCCTACTTATTCATTGCTCTAAAGGAAGCGCTGTCTTTACCACATTTAGTACCTCCCCTGTTGGTTACAAGTTGCATTGCAAGGAGGTGCAAATTACTTTTCATAGTCCTTTTGCCTTTTTCCCTGCTGTATTTGGGCTTTAACAAAAGCCAGAGGGGCGGTCAGCTGCTGAAAAAATACACATCCTTTCTTTAACGTAATCACCCCTATCCAAAAAAGAAAGGGAGAAGACATACTAAGAAATGTCCACCCCCTGCATAATATCTGTTCTCTGACACTGTCCCACTGTCATTTAGAAGTACTACCTTAGAAGTGCTCTACCATATGCTTATTATCTGTTATCCCAGAAGGAAAAATGCCAGTAGATGACAGTGTGGTTTATTTATTTCTCTGTTACTAATGTAATTCCCACCTCTTCAAGGTCAGCATGGAGCTAAATATGGAAATTACTGGAGATCTTTGTGGGGACTCAATGAGGACTGATAACTAAAGGATGTATTGTTTCTTCATGCATTGCATAACTGACACAAATAGAGAGAAGCAATAGATTCTTCTGAGACTCTTTATTAATTGTGGTTTCTTGAAATTTTAGAAATTTTGACAAATTTACTTCCTCAAATATCTAAAAGGAGATCTTTGAGGCAGATCTCCTGCTGACTCAAATAAGAGACATTGAATACCACATGTATAACAAACACCCTCTGGTATGACCAGCCTAATAGTAGTGATAAAATCAAGTAGTATTAATTTAAAAGTATTTGAAAAAGGTTCAATAAATCCTGTGGCCAACTTATTAGTACAATTATTAATATAGGACCTAGAGTGGTTAATATTCTTCATTATGATGTAGGAAAAACAGGTCTAGGAGGCAAATTTGCCTTTCACATGGTCTGAAAGGCAAAAGAAAGTTTCATCTTAAATATGAGTTACTGCCAAAGAAATATTTCATTTGAATAAACCTGTGTTAGAACTTTCATAAAACACAGAAAAGAATTGAAAAATAATGTGAGACATGTCACAGTACAATACAGAACAGTAACATCTTCTTCCTTTATGTCTTTCCATCTTAAGCCTATAATTTTTAAAATGATATTAATTATTCCATTATGAGTGCAGAATGAAAACCTTTCCAGAGTTTCTCCTGTGCATCACTTCCAATGCTGAGGTTACCTACAGAAGCTGTAGATTATTCATATGATATATGAAACCAGCATGGACTGCATATAGAAGGGCAGATTCAGATGGCAAAAGCATTTGTCACGGGGACAGTCAAGCTTATCAAACCTGTTACAACAGCACATTGAGAATCCACTTTAGTATAAAAAGAACTGCATCCAGGAAAAATACTGTCATGAAAATATTTCATCTGGAAACCATATAATTATAAATTATAGGATAATTTCTTGTAATTTTTGAAAGCATATTATGTCACATTAATTTTTGAAAGCATATTATGTCACATTAATTTTTGAAAGACATTATTTTTTGCTCAGTTATACCAAATAAAAGAGCAACAGCATTTAGTTTTAGTATTTCCTGATTAAAAATCAGACATTAAAAGAGTCTGTCATCTAAACAAATAGGTTTAGTTATGACTGCTTAGATGCTTTCAATCAAACATTTATTTTACAAACATCAGCACAACTCTATACATACTGCTAAGTCTTTCCGCTTTCATATATACTTGGTAGAAAGCTTATTTCTTTGTGACAACAAGAGGAAATATTTGAAAAATTGAAATGTTGTCAACTATGTCCTCAAAGTTCTGTAAGTCTATATATATATGTAAAATTTTTACTAAATTAAACTTTCTGATATTATTTTATTAATATTTTAATAGTACTTAAAATTCCAGATAAAGTGCCAAGAGTGGAAAATAACTGTCTGCACCCTTCTTCTTCTACAGAAGAAGAGTTAATGTTGAGTGTTTTCTTGTTTCATTATACAACTATTAGGACAAAGTGTAAGCCTTTCAGTATTTATACACTCTTTCAACAAGAAACTACCTACTGCACATATAAGCTGTTTTACATGAGTCCAGCCATCCAAAAGTTAGATACTCAGCATCTAAGCTGCTGATCTAGAAAATTTCTCTTGTCAGTGGGAGAGGAGCACACATCCGGAGAATGATTCTTCCCATCCCTAGGTGGTAAAAATGAGCAGTGTCCTAGATGTGACCCTCTCCCACTGACCAGAATCTTTCACCAGATGTAAAACATTTTTCCAAAATCTCATTATATGACAAGTTGACTACAGAGAGAATCTGTAAAAAGGACTCATAGACAGATATGCTGAGTTAAATCTTAGATGAATAAAAACAGACCAAATTAATACCATAAAGGTCCAGCTCTGCTTTTTTTTACAGAAATCATCCAATTGGCTTTGATTTGCTTTTGCTTCAGAGTGCCATAATTCTACTGCTGAAACTTCCAGCTGTGTCTAATACCCTGCAATAAAAAATGAAAAGACAATTTTTAGAAGGGAATAACAAAAACTTAGACCTAAAAGTTCTAATACTTAAGTAAGAAAGTACAGTTATATGGGAACTACACAATGAAATAAATAAGGACATCCTATTTTGAGAAGGGTAGCACAACACCCCTATTTTCTGCATTAGCATTTCAGTTATGGTGATTCAGAAATGAACAGCATCTACAAGTAATCATGAGGGGTCTTATTACTTGGATGACTAAGTTCCCTGTGGGATTTGTCCTAAATAGGTAGTCCTCAGTTTGCGAAGTTTTCTGCACACAGCAAGAGTATTTTCATTTTGAAATAATGTCTTGATGCAAGGATTTTTAGTCAGTTTCACCACAACATCAGCTTTTAAGTCAGAAATTGCATGCAAGCCTAGACATGAGGTATGACATTTGAACTCTACATTAACCATGTGCATGAGTTAAAAGATTATACTTATGATGTCTGTAAGAGTACCACATTTTATAACAAAAATGGTTTCCTTGTTTAGAAAAAGGGAAAGCTGCCTTTACTACTACATTATCCTTATGAATAATTATTAAGAGTTACTTTGTAAAGTTCAAATTCAGAGAAAACAACTTTCAAGTGCAGAATCCCCCAGTTGTGTTATTTCTGTTGCTATGCTTACAGTTTTAAAGGTCTTTTTTCCCTTTCTTCTCTTCACAGGAAATGATCTGTTTCTAGTTGCAGTGCATGAACTGGGACATGCTCTGGGCTTGGAACACTCTAATGATCCCACTGCAATCATGGCTCCATTTTATCAGTATATGGAAACTGACAACTTCAAACTACCTAACGATGATTTACAAGGCATCCAGAAGATATACGGTATGTCATACTCTCATTAGGCAACCTAAGGTTTTCACTCTAGAGTACATTGTAAGTCCTTCTGTCCATACTACCTCCCCAAGAGAGTTTGTTACTGTAGACTCTGCCAGCTGTTATGCCAAAGGCCATTTTGTGGGCACACCAGCGATTTTGATGAAGCTCTTGTACTTTGCTTCTCACTGTTTATAACTTACAGTCAAATTTTCAATCATCTGGAATAGTAATTTTAGATGTTTTAAGAAGTGATAGACAATATCAGTGAAAGGATCCCAAACTATTAAAATATTAAGAAATGAAGGCCTTCAACCATAATGAGTAGTAGTCTGAGCTTGTATAACTGGACTGATTGCTTCCTTGCTTATCAGTCTCCTGGGTGACAAAATCTGTGGTCCCAGAAAATCCCTTTCCTGTGATACCTACAGCAAATTGATCTGAAAAAAATGCTATTACCAGTCCAAGATTTTGATCTTCCTAGGGGGAAAAAATCCCCACTTCTTTAATATGTGTTTGTTTAGGGGGGGGTTGTGGCCTGATAAGAGACCTAATGTGGATAAATTCTACATTTATTGAATTTAATTTGATAAGGCAAGGTAATTGAAAATTAAAAACAAAACAAAATAATATTATTGTTATGGGTCAAAGTTAACACTGACTCCCATATTACTATTTCTTACATTTCCAAAGACATGGCTTTGGTATTGTTTTTAAAGACTTCGATCCATTGGTATATGTTAAACAGTCTGTGTTTTTTTTCCTGTGGTATTTCTATGTTAATGCTATGGATCTGGTACATATCATTTGAAATTGCCTTGTTTAATATTCCCCTATTAATTCTGTATTGCATTAAATTTTTTACTTATAATTATTTTCATTTGAAAGATTTTCCATGTTTATATTGAATATTATCAGAATATTATCAGTTGTTCAACTTCACTGCTAGAAAGGACAGCTGTGATTATGTAGAATTACTGTACTGATAACTAGAACTCTGCAGCCTCCATGATGTTTTATGTTAGCAAACTTTTATTGCTTAACAAGCACTGATTTATATTTTCATAAAGCATAAATAGCAATTTCAAAATGATTGGCTAATGAATTCTTGTTTGGTTGTTTTATCTTTCCTGTGCGATTAGATGGAAGGAAGGTTGTTTCTCATGACTTCATAAGTTGGTAGTCTAGACTTGAGGGCTAGACAAGAATTCTGTGCTGAAAACTAATTGCTAAACTCTAACAGCTGTGGGCTATACATTAGGAGAAATGTATTACCCCTGGGGTAATATCTACATCACCACCAAATAGCATATGAGAACTTTGGTCTGGGATTAAAAACTTTCCAACATTAGCTACTGCAAACTGATTCGTTTGCTTCCTTTAAAATCAAGAGGTGATCTGGAATCATATGCCTCAATAAAAATGTCACACCTATTAAAATAATTACTTTGGTCTGCAGTATTCCTTGAAACACCATTATTAGCTGCAAATTATAAAGGCCACAAGCTTTACAATTGTGAATGAAATAAATGTCTTATTAAATTGCATAACAACCATTTGGAGAGCTTAATATTTCCTTACACAGTCCATCTTGGGTTTTTTTAAAAGTTAGGTTTCCTTTTAATGTATCAGAAATTCAAATGTCATTTGTGCAGATTTACAGTTTTACAGTTGTCTTAATACTCAAAAGTCTTTCTGAAGCTGTTCATACAAATGATATTTATTTTTTTAAATAAAAATTGATGATGTATTTATATGATTGGGAGAGGGGCCTAAATAAAATGAGGGGCCTAAATAGAATGAGCAAAATTAAAGTGTTCTTATTTCTAGAAATCTTACTGATCCAACTGAAACTTATTATATTTTGTACATGGAAAATATAAGCATAATAATGTGTAGAAAGGGAAAGGCATTATCAGTATAACCATTGCAACTCATTTAGTATGATGTTGGGTTTATGACCAGCATCTGTCTAGGATGGCCTTTTGACTTTCAGGTAGAGAAATTATGAATGGGATAGTTATTTCACTTGACATCAAACTGTATATTTTGACAGATAATATGTTTGAAAGAAAAAAAATATTCCAAAATCACTTCACAGAGTTTTAATTTTTCATTTTATTTCTTTTTAATCCATTTATCCTCAGAACAATCCCCTGAATTACTAAGCATCTAGGTTTGTAAGACTCACTGAAAAAAAAATTAAAATAAGAATTAATTTCAGAATATTGAATAAAACTTGTGAATGATGTTTTTTATTTATATGGATGCCTAGAATCTGAAGTCCAGTTTCAATAGCTTCTGTACATAGCAAGGGTCATTGGGGAGAGCTGGGAACGTGCTGTCACTAATGCACATGACATTACTGGGCCTACATATTGGGTCTTTAGGAAATATCAGGTATGTTACATATATGTGTATGTGAATTGATGAATGAAAGTTAAAAATATGAGTTGAAAATCCATTAACTTCTAATGATTCTATTAGGAACAGGTTTTTTATTTTCCTTTATTTTGTACAATAGGCAAAGATTCTGTTTTACCAGTTCTTACTCAGTTGGTAAAGTATGTGCTACAAACCCCATCTCTTCTAAAATGAGGGTGGACTATGCATCCTTTGCAGGTTTTATTTGAACTGTATTCCAGTAAGGAAGGAAGACTCTGGATAAAGTAATTATTTTCCTTGGGCTTGGTAGTTGTTTGTTGTACCCTTTAACAAGACCAGCAGGTCGAAGGAGGTGATCCTGCCCCTTTATTCTGCTCTCGTGAGACCTCACTTGGAGTATTGTGTACACTTCTGGTGTCTTGCCTGCCAACATAAAAAGGACATGGATCTGTTGGAACAAGTCCAGAGGAGGCCACGAGAATGATCAAGGGACTGGAGCACCTCCCATATGAAGATCGGCTGAGAAAGTTGGGGCTGTTCAGCCTGGAGAAGAGAAGGCTGCATGGAGACCTCATAGCAGCCTTCCAGTATCTGAAGGGGGCATATAGGGATGCTGGGAAGGACTCTTCATTAGGGACTGTAGTGATAGGACAAGGGTTAATGGGTTCAAACTTAAACAGGGGAAGTTTAGATTGGATATAAGAAGGACATTCTTTCCTGTTAGGGTGGTGAGGCACTGGAATGGGTTGCCCAAGGAGGTTGTGAATGTTCCATCCCTGGCAGTGTTAAAGGCCAGGTTGGACGAGGCCTTGGGCGATATGGTTTAGAGCGAGGTGTCCCTGCCCATGGCAGGGGTGTTGGAACTTGATGATCTTAAGGTCCTTTCCAACCCTAACTATTCTATGATTCTATGATTCTAAGACAGGAAAAGTGTGTTAGGTCACTTTCTCCATTCCCCTTTCACTGTAGGATTTGCACTGCTTACAGCAGGGTTTTTTTTGTGTATTTCCTTTGAGTACCTCTACTGGGCATTTAAATTACATCCTGCTGCTATATTTTTAAAGGTCCACCTGACAGGATCCCACCACCAACAAGACCTCTGCCAACAGTGCCCCCACATCGTTCAGTCCCTCCAGCAGACCCACGGAAGAATGACAGGCAACCTAAACCTCCCCGGCCACCCACTGGTGACAAACCTTCCTATCCCGGAGCCAAGCCTAACATCTGTGATGGGAACTTCAACACTCTGGCTATTCTTCGCCGGGAAATGTTTGTTTTCAAGGTAGGAGGCTGTGAATTTTTCAATGTTACATCAAATTTCTACATTTCTCCTTTTCTTTTGTTAAAAGCAAACTCTCATTCATCATGACTCCACTTTCTCAGACTGCTCACAGTCAGAAAGTTCAAGAAAGAAATTAAAAAATAAACATACACATGGTTTCAACGTCTAGCAGAGGACTGCTGTAATAGTCTATTTTGGGAAAACACCCATGTCAGCAGAAACTCTAATGCCTCAAAATGCAAGGGTAAATAAGTGCTGCATGTTATGGAGAGATAAAAAGTTTAAATCAGTCATGAATAATAGGAATGATTTTGCTGGGAATACAGCCACATCCAGAAATACAGTAGATATTGTGTCTTCGATGCTTTATTTTTTTTCATGGAGCTATAATTTTAATTTTACAATTAGATCTGTCATTTATAAAGGAAGTTTGTCATTGTGTTGTGGTTGCTTTGAAACCGCAATATCTCAGTAAAGGTCTTTGCCACAAAAAATATTATTGCAAATATGTCATTGTTTATTTCCATTTATCTTCTTGCTGTGAGCTGAAAATGTGGTATATACAAAAAAATTAAAATAAATGGAACTGAAAGGCAATCTTTTGATAGAAGGACTTCGCTAAGACTCATGGACATCAAAGCTATTTTAGGAGGATGATCTGCAATATGTTTTCCAGAGGCATTGAATGTTGAAGAATAATTAAAGAGTCCTTATTATTTGACCTCTTAAATGAATTTGCTGACAGATAGTGCTGCAGAAATGTTCCAGAAAAAGGCAACCGGGTAATCTGTTATTTTGAACAAAATCTTCAGGTGTGTCAAATTTGCTTAAGCAATACAAAGTGACATCTTTGTTTTGTATGATATGATTCTTTCTAACTTCAACATCATAGGTAGAGAAGGGCCTTTCACATGAATAAATAAATACTTTTCCCTTCAGCAGTAGTGTAAGTATTAGGGAAGTGCAATGAATTTGTCCGAAAACATGAAGCTCCCAATTCAGCGTCTTTTTTTATCCTTTCTGATAGGACCTTTTTCACCCTTTCGTGTTTTGGTTTTATGTAATCTATCACTCCAGATAAACCTTATTAGCAATGCTACCCAGGCTTTCACTTTCTTTAGCATACCTGAAAAAATAGATACAAATAGCTTTACATGAATTCATTCAAAATTATTTGGCTACCTTCACACCCCAATGGGCAGGAAGCATTTTTTTTCTATAAACAGCTAAGGATTTAGCTGGTCCTGGGGCATTTAGCCTTTTACATTTGAAAAGATGGGAAATCTTCAAATACTGTTAGATCCTGAACCATCAGCCTTTTTATGACTAAAATTCAAAGGTTAAGGAAGAATCTAATTCTCTAACTTGACGTTAAACAGGGTAGTAAAATACCTACTTCAATCTCATGTCATTCACCTCAAAAGCAGTAGGACAAACTCTCATTTATTTTAGACATAAAAGGTTAAATAGTGAAATATTACCCCACTAATACAAAATTTCCTGTTTAGCCAAGTTTTTGTTCCTGGATGAATAAATTCATCACCATTGTTAATCACTTTCTCTTAATCACTATTCCGACTGAAAATACAAACAAGTTTTCTCCAAAAATGTTTACTGTTTACTGCCTTAATGCTACATATTTACTATACTGTTTGTGTGCTTACTAGTGTGCAACAGACATTTATATTCCAAAATTGAAACTCCATTCATGATCCACACCCTAATGAGGAAACATGGGAAAGCTTTTTCAGAGAAACGAGACCAGTAACAGGGTGTTTACAGATTTCATGTTTAGAATATGACTTTCTGAAATAAAATTGCTGCAGTCGTAAAAGCAACATGTTGGGAACAGAAGAAAGAGATAGCCTTTGTCCAGATTCATTTCTTTAAGAAAGTTCTTAAGTTCTTAAAATTCTCCTTTTCTCCTCAGGGCATGACTTGGATTAGCATGCTAGGCAACACACTTTACTTACATATATGTACAAACTTGACTTTGTAGTCTGACTGTGAATGCTTGAGTTGGTAGGCCTTAACTTTCTGTTTTGTACGTTAATGTGCTAATGAAATTTTTTGTCTGCTAAAGGATTTTCATTACCTGTTTGAGAATATTGTTTTTCTTGAGGGTGTGGGGCTAGGTTATGGGGAGGAGTATGAAAAGGACAAAAAAGGGGAGAAGGAATTAAAAATGTCAGGGGGTATTATTAATTTCCACCTTACTTTGCAGAACCTCAGGGTGGCAGGTTACAAGGAAATGTTCCACGTCAGACTGTAGCAGAAACAGGGCAGGAATTACTTCTTAGAAGGTATAAACAGGAATAGGTACTGAATACAGGAAAGGCATCCAGCCAGGGAGGAAGTGAAGCTGGAGGTTCTATGGCCTGACAGAATTAAAAGAGCAAGCCTTTTTGCACTTGCCCCTCAATGATAGTACAAGGTTATAGTGAGAAATGATGGGCTGAGAGCCAAGTACAGAGAGGTGGAGAAGTGGGTTGATGACAATACTATACCAGGTGGAAACAATTAAAGAAGAATTATGACCTTCACTGGAAGAATTATTGTTGGATAGTTCCCAGATGAGTTAAATTAATAAAGTTGGGGGATAATCAAATAATATACTTTTCTTTCTTTGTCTTTATCCACACACAGGTCTGTAATGATTGTGCAATGGCAGATTTTACTCCCTAGTAAAATCTGCCATGTATGCCACATACCAATTTCAGACAGGCACTTTTTTATCTCATGGGCAAATCTGAAGCTCAGGAGCTCAATTTGTTTAAATAATCCTTGAAATTGCTTGGGACCTTAACCACAGAGTTGAAGAATGTGAGCCTTTTTTATTAAATTCTAATCTAAACATAAAAATGAAGCATGAAAGATAACAGTTTAAGATAAACTGTGGATTTTCATAAAAGATGGCAAACAATATTAATTTCAAGATTGTTTTCTCTTGGCTGTTGAGCTATTAAGTGCACTTAAGAGTATCAGAATATTAGAAACAATTTCTATGTTCAGTCAAACTGATAAGCTTTGTCTGTGGTTTTAAGACTATCTGGCATTCTTGAATGGGTATATACAAAATAAAACTGAAAAACAGTAAACTTAAAGGGAAAATGGAATTTATACTTATCCATCCCTTTTTTATTGTTTTGCCATCACTTTGGCAAAGCATCAGTCCTAGCAATACTTGATAAAAATTGTAGGGTTATAGAAATGAAATAAAGAGGAACTGTTCTTGATCTAATATGAACAGTAAACACAAAAGTAAAGCAATCAACTTGTTAAAGATCCCCCAGAGGCCACCAAATAAAATTAAAATTTGGTGGGTCTATTGTTTTGGCAGAAATTATTGGATTTTAAGGAAAGCAAAACTGTTTGTTACCAAATACATTGGATTACTGACATATAAATGTATTGTCTCAAAGGGACTTCTTCCTGAATTCTTTGAATTAGATGCCCTTAAAATGCCCTTTCTATCTGGAAGGCTTGGAGGCACAGTATGCTATAGAAGAAAAATGCTAGTTAAAATCAAAGTATTATAGCTATTGGTTTCAGTTGTCATCTGCTTTTATTTTGAAGTGTATGAAATTTGTCTTAATTGAATGCATTTTTTTAATCGCTGCTATTACTCGAAATGTTTGAGCTGCTATAAGCAACCATCAGGATAGAAGAATGTCTGTGCCACAGTTAATGAGTGCCAAGTTTTTATCTTGAGATTCCAGTTAGCTTCTGTATTTATGCTGAACGCAATTAGTATTTAGCTGTCACACTCATTTCCAATCTTTTCTCTAGCTATTTTCTCTTTCTGTTTAGTTAGAACTCTCCTGGGACACAGAAAATGGTAAAAAACAAATTGGCCTTCCTTTTCTGGGAAAGTTGTGCAAAGTGGCATGACACTGTCTGCCTTTAATGGAAAAACCTCTCAGCCATTGTATATAGCAATATGTGGTGTCTGACAATACTGTCTTCTTAAAGACTCCTGAGAGTACCTCCAGGGCTACTGCATCATGAAAAGAAGCCCCATTGTCTAAGGTCACCAGAAGAGATCCATTAGTGAGGATGTTTACAGCATATATTTCTACTTTTTCCTGTGTTCTGTGCAGTTCACACTGCTTCTCAAGCCTTCTGAAGCAAGAGTTTTGAAGATAATCTAGAATGTCCTATCAGTAAAGGGACTTATGTTAACATGCTCTGAATCTTTTACACAATTAAAAAAAATGCTGGTTGAAGGGAGCCAGTGATTACACAGAATATATTGTCTCTCAAAGGATGCAGATAAATTAACAGTGGTTGCTTATTCTGTTATTTTTGAGGTGTTTATAGCTTCTGCTTGCCTCTGCATGCTGATTGTTCCTTGGCAACAAAACTACCTCTAGCTCTGTTTTGACAATGTTATTGTTATTAATATCCTTTTTTTCTATGTCCTTTTCAGTTTCACAGATTTTAACAAAGTACTTAGTTTTTTGAACTGGGTAAATATAGAAAAGTAAGCACTAAATGTGTGGAACTTCTTCTATGACCAAATTAAAGGACAAGTCACTGCTCTTTATGTGGCACAGTTTTTTGCCTCACAGAATTTCTCATGGAGGTTGCACCAGCCTGTTCTTTTTTTGATGCTAAGAAACAAATGAAGGGATCCTATATAATCTATAATGAATTTAGTATTCATATTGGAAAAGTTGACTCAATCCTAGAAGAACAACATTTTTAGTCACTGTCGTATGCTGTTTGTTGAAACGTAATGTAAGTATAAGAGAAAGAAGCTTGTCCATTAGATAAATAGCATTTACAGCTGAGAGAAATGTCTTCTGAAATGTTAACATTACAAATGGTAGAATACGGAACTAATTTTAGGAAGGCCTTAACAGGCTGTGTTTTACTATTTTATAGTAATTTCTCTACAACTTGCAGAAATTTGTTTTCTGACTCTTCATCTGCTAAGAACCATTGTAAAAACATTTATGACATGCCAAACAGCCAAGCCAATTAGGCTGTCGTTACCC